ACACGGCTTTTAACCAAGAATGTACAGATTCTCACATGTACATTCTTCCTACGGGCAGTTCAAAACCAGAATGTATCTCCAATCCAGGCCAGAGCTCACGTTTCTCACTGAACAAGAGAAAGTAGGGAAGTGGTAGCTTTATAAGAGGGAATGAAAGAGGAGAGGAGGTATTAAAGAGGGGGTATTCTCCTGGTATGCTCCTCTTTTCAGCCTGTGTTGAAGGCTTCGTTTTAGCTATGGAGTGATGCATCTTGTCTCTAAATGATCTTTGTTGGGAGTTGCACATGCTCAGTTCCTAGTTAAGGACTACTAGCCAATCAGAAGCAGAGAAGGGCGGGTCGGCGAGAAGCCGGTAAACAGCTCGGGTTCAGCCGTACGTGTTGCCGACCAGCTTGGCAACATGGACTGGAGCGAGAGTTTCAGAGCGGTGAGTTATTAATCTGTATCCATAAAGTTTTAACTGAGCTCTGTCTCTACATCACAGGAACAACTTTATGTCCACTGACTGCCTGGAGGGTAGCTAGTGTTTGGAAGGGAGAGGAGAGCTGTGTGCTGCAGCTCGCTGTTTCTGAGGGCGTGTCCGAGTCGCCGCTTGGCGAGCGTTATATGAGGCGCGTTTAGCTTTCATCCCTGTGACGTCACAGGGATGTTTGTTAAGATGTGTTGATGTTAATTATAATTTTGGTTGAGACTACACTTTGATCACTCAAAGCTACACTTTAGTTAATTTTGTTTTTCTGAACTGAATTGAGCAACAAATAAAATTAATTTATATTAAGATGCACATTTACAAAAACGTTTTTTAAATTTAGACTTTAGATTACTTAAATTTAGAATTTATTATTAGTTATTTATTATCCCTTCAGTTTTATGTAAAAACTGACAGTAAATATGTTATATATGTGATACAGCTAGGCCATACGTTGTGACACTGAATGATAAGCAAGTTGATGTTCGGATGTTTGCTTGGTGAAATTTCTCTAACTGGACCTCTTTGAATCAACATTATGTTGCATGCAGTACTGGAGGCTGCAGTTTCAGGACCCCCGCAATCCCAGGGCCTCAGTTATTTTGCGACAGCGCCATCTAGTGGAGTGGTGGTGGTAATCCACAGCAACATGAAGGAGGTTAACGCTGTCTGCTAGCACGTTGGCCGTGAGGCTGATGTCCAGAGCTGTAGGGTTAACCGGTGACATGCACATAATTAATAACTTAAATTTAGGCAGACACTCTGTGATGGTTGTGGTAAGGGTAATTGGCTTCGGTGGACTGTCAAGTGAAACATAGCCAGCTGGCAGTATCAAAGTCAACAAGGGTCCTGAAACTGCAGCCTCCGGTACTACAGCTACATACTATATACACAATATTTCCTAAAATTAATATAAGATTTTAGGAAATATTGACTCCACTCAAATGATTTCTTTGGAAATGGCAGCTTAGAGATGGGTTTAAAAATGATTTATAACAACAGGATGTAGAGAGAGCTTAACGACAAGGAACACTAACGAACCAGCGGTATCGATGACCCGGGCCAACGACCCCACTGAGGTTAAATAGCTGAGTTTCCCTGCCAGTCAGTCAGAACTGAAGAAGTCCTTCGGATGAGGGACGAAACGTCTTCCAGTATCTTCAACCAAGTCCAGTTGCCCTTGACATTAACCTTCATTGGATAATAAGGCATGTAGTTTAAGCTAACTTTAGCATTCAGCCATAAAATAAGACATGTCGTTTAAAATAAGGCATGTAGATTAAGCTAACATTAGCATGCAGCTATAAAATAAGGCATGTAGTTTAAAATAAGGCATGTAGTTTAAGCTAACATTAGCATGCAGCTATAAAATAAGGCATGTCGTTTAAAATAAGGCATGTAGTTTAATCTAACATTAGCATGCAGCTATAAAATAAGGCATGTAGTTTAAGCTAACTTTAGCATGCAGCTATGAAATAAGGCGTGTAGTTTAAGCTAACATTAGCATGCAGCTATAAAATAAGGCATGTAGTTTAAGCTAACTTTAGCATGCAGCTATGAAATAAGGCGTGTAGTTTAAGCTAACTTTAGCATGCAGCTATAAAATAAGGTGTGTAGTTTAAGCTAACATTAGCACGCAGATATAAAATAAGGCATGTAGTTTAAGCTAATGTTAGCATGCAGCTATAAAATAAGGCATGTAGTTTAAGCTAATGTTAGCATGCAGCTATAAAATAAGGCATGTAGTTTAAGCTAACTTTATCATGCAGCTATAAAATAAGGCGTGTAGTTTAAGCTACTGTTAGCATGCATCTATAAAATAAGGCATGTAGTTTAAGCTAACTTTATCATGCAGCTATAAAATAAGGCATGTAGTTTAAGCTAATGTTAGCATGCATCTATAAAATAAGGCATGTAGTTTAAGCTAACTTTATCATGCAGCTATAAAATAAGGCATGTAGTTTAAGCTAACTTTATCATGCAGCTATAAAATAAGGCATGTAGTTTAAGCTAACTTTAGCATGCAGCTATAAATAAGGCATTAGTTTAAGCTAACTTTAGCATGCAGCTATTAAATAAGGCATGTAGTTTAAGCTAACTTTAGCATGCAGCTATAAAATAAGGCATGTAGTTTAAGCTAACTTTAGCATGCAGCTATGAAATAAGGCGTGTAGTTTAAGCTAACTTTAGCATGCAGCTATAAAATAAGGCGTGTAGTTTAAGCTAACTTTAGCATGCAGCTATAAAATAAGGCGTGTAGTTTAAGCTAACTTTAGCATGCAGCTATAAAATAAGGCATGTAGTTTAAAATAAAGCATGTAGTTTAAGCTAATGTTAGCATGCAGATATAAAATAAGGCATGTAGTTTAAGCTAACATTAGCACACAGATATAAAATAAGGCATGTAGTTTAAGCTAACTTCAGCATGCAGCTATAAAATAAGGCATGTACTTTAAGCTAATGTTAGCATGCAGCTATAAAATAAGGCATGTAGTTTAAGCTAATGTTAGCATACATCTATAAAATGAGGCATGTAGTTTAAGCTAACATTTGCATGCAGATATAAAATAAGGCATGTCGTGTAAGCTAACATTAGCATGCAGATATAAAATAAGCCATGTCATGTGAGCTAACTTTAGCGCTTGGATTTTTAGAACAGCTTGAATAATGTCTTAGGGTGTTTTCTCTCAACCTGGACATTAGAAATTGGTCCAAGAGATGGCTGCAGTGGCAGCGTGAAACAAGCTACAATGTAACATTAATATGCCGCTGCACACCTTCAGTTTCCATCCATAACGTGCTTGTTTTGCCACTGACACGCTCAGATAATTATTCTTAGTGTCTGACAACATTATGGAAAGGATCCCAGCTGAGGTCAAGCTTTTGTTAAAGAGTAAGATCCGTTTTGTTTTAACATGAAACATCCCTGAAATCGCCAAACCCACCAGACTCTATTCAAATTAACTGTCATTTTATCGTCATAAAATACACATTTAAAGTCGACAGGAACAAGATAAAACCTTCACAAACCATCTTAGTTGTCTAAGAAAATAAGAAATGTACTGAAGTATAAAGGGTAGCTGTATTAGGAGTGCAAATTACAATGTGATGTCCAATCTCGCATTCATGAGGTATATATAACTTATAGCTCTAATAAAGGCCTATAATTGTCTTATAAGCAATAATTAATCAATTAATAGTTTATTAGGCTTTAATTAACACTTATATTGTTGTCTATAAGCATCCTATAAGGTCTTATAAGTGTCTTATTAACTGTTATTACTGCCTATTACAAGCACCTTAAAATAAAGTGTTACCTACGTCTCATTTACAGAAAATAAAGCAAAAACTTTCACATCCTGTAGAATTTACTGGTAAGGTAGGAAGTGGAACAGAGAGAAGTGAAAATCCAGAGCTGCGAGGAGACGGAGAGATTGAGGGAGGAGCTAAGCTGTTAGTGAACTATAGAAGAGAGAGGAACTTCCATATTCAGCAGAGTTCAATACACAAAGCAGAAACATTCCCTTTATTCAACATGCTGTCATTGGACTATTATGTACTTTCTCTACTGTTACTATCCATTCTAACAGGTACGTGAGATCCTGCTGAGAAAGTTTCATTACTAACTTTTCTGGATGGGATTCATTTGTTGAGTCTTTTACAACATGAAATAACAGAGTTATCTCTTCCTTCAGGTGTCAGCTGTGAAGAACTCACTGCAGTCAGGAATGAAGAGTTCACTTTAGAAGGCAGCTCTGTTACTCTGTCCTACACATACTCTAAACTGTTAACTAGTGATTATTTCTTCTGGTATCAACAATATCCAGGAAAACCACCAGAGTTCCTCATCTCCCACTCTGCTTCAGGAAAAGTAGGAAATAATCAAAAACCTGGACTAAAGATTCAAGTGGAGCAAAAAGAGATAAATCTGCAGATCTCCTCTGCTGCAGTGACAGACTCTGCTGTGTACTACTGTGCTGTGAAGCCCACAGTTACAGGAAACACCAAAACTCTGTACAAAAACCTGACAGCTCCTCTGAAGATTTACTCACTTCAGCTCCTCCTTTAAACTGAACAGCAGCGCCACCAAGTGGACACTGACAACACAATCTAATGATAAGTAACAATCTCACTCCTGTTATTAATAAAACAGTTAATCCAGATCATGGTGTTTAATTGAGGCTATTTCTGTACAGTAAGGCACTCCACAAGGAAGTCTTCTTCTACACAGAATGCTTTGGTATCACTGATGATGAGACAAACTAAAATGATTACAGACCCATGTTGATTAATTAACTATTCCAGGGTGAAAAGTGGTTAAAGAGACTTTGTTGTACCAGAAAGTTCACATGTTAAAGCTCCTCATTATGAGCTGCTCTGGATAAGAGCATCAGCTAAACAGCTGAGATGTAAATGAGATGTAAATGTTGAGAGTTCCTCAACAGATGATGAAGAGGAAGGGCCAATGATGTGAAGGCCCAGATCCATCAGAGTATCAATGTTCTTCCTCTCTCTCCTCCCCTCTCACTGCAGACATGAACCACTGGCTGAGAAACATCCTGATTCTGACTCTCTGGCTAGGTAACTCTTTAAACCTACTGATTGTTCTCCTTTAATCAATCATCTTTATTGATCCATCTCTTCCTCTGCATGTTCTCTTCTTCCCCAGAGTGTAAAGGAGAAGACAGAGTGACCCAGCCAGCAGGAGATGTCATTGCTGCTGAAGGAGACACAGTTACACTTGGCTGTACTTTTGAGACCAGTGACCCAGGTCCAACTTTGTTCTGGTACAAACAGGATGGAGACAACAGCCCCAAATTCATACTGAGCCGCGTTCAACAGGATGATGGGAAAACAGAGGAAGAGTTTAAAGAAAGATTTTCATCCACACTGGATTCCACCTCCAAATCAGTTCCTCTGAAGATCCAGAAGCTTCAGCTGTCTGACTCTGCTGTGTACTACTGTGCTCTGCGGCCCACAGTGACAGGAAACACCAAAACTCTGTACAAAAACCTTTGGAGCAAAGACAACAGAATACTCCACAACGTCCACTAGAGGGAGTCACACACTGTTAAACTTCAGTGCTTTATGATATAGTCAGGATTTGTTTTAGTGGTGATAGAAGCAACATTAAATGAAGCGCTACAGATAAAACACAATAAAGAAATAACAGAACTTGAATATGTTCATAGTATTTTCAAAGTATCTCCAATAGTACTCCAGCAGATTGTTTTCACAGACAATTGAAATGCTTGGTGACTGTAACCATTGCAAGCTTTAAGCTGTGCTGCCTGGTTTGAAGCAATATGTAGACTGTAATACTAAACCCCCATTTGCACCTCTCACCATAATGTCCGTTTAATTCCCACCTACAAGTCCCTGCTCAAAAGCAGGACAGCACAAGTAAAACTGTACTTGTTTGGAACAATGATGGCATTGAGACCTTAAAGGGAAATGAAGCAGTCAATCAAGTTTACATCATTTACACAATGGATTTCCACTACGATCAACAATTATACAAGAAACATGACAAATGTAAACGTATAAAAGACAAAAGAAAAGAAGAACTGTCATATCTTTAACGGAAAGGGTGCCACCATTGTGCAGTACGATAACCTGCAATGTCACGGGGTTGGTTGGCTTTAAGGCTCTGGGTGAGAGATAGTGAAATATAGAGCCAGTGAAAGAGAAATAGTGAAAGAGATAGTGAAACATAGACCTAGTGAAAGACAGAGCCAGTGAAAGATAATGAACAAGAGATAGTGAAAGACACAGACAGGGAAAGAAATAGTGAAAGAGTGAAAGAGAGATAGTGAAAGACAGAGCCAGTGAAAAAGACAGTGAAAGACAGAGATAGTGAAAGAGAGAGTGAAAGACAGAAACAGTGAAAGAGATACTGAAGAGATGGTGAAAGACAGATATAGTTAAAGATAGACATAGTGAAAGAAAGAGCAAGTGAAAGAGATACTAAAGAGATAATGAAAGACAGAGATAGTGAAAGATAGACATGGTGAAAGACAGAAACCGTGAAAAAGAGAGTGAAAGACATAATTAAAGATAGAGGTACCGAAAGAGATAGTGAAGAGATACGGAAGAGATAGTGAAAGACCAAGATAGTGAAAGAGATACTGAAGAGATGGTGAAAGTCAGAGATAGTGAAGAGATATGGAAAAAGATACATATTGAAAGAGATAGTGAAAGAGATACTGAAGAGATAATGAAAGACAGAGATAGTGAAAGATATACATAGTGAAAGACAGAGCCAGTGAAAGAGATAGTGAAAGAGATAGTGAAATAGAGAGATAGTGAAAGACAAAGAGAGTGAAAAATAGACCGTGAAAGAGAGTGAAAGATAGACAGTGAAAGACAGAGATACTAAAAGAGAGAGATAGCAAAATAGACAGTGAAAGACAGATAGTGAAAGACAGAGATAGTGAAAGAGAGATAGTGAAAGAGAGAGATAGATGGATGCCACGAACAGAGGACAACCAGTGGAAACTCAGAATAGAATCAAATATAATAATTGTTTTGAAAGGTTTTCAAATTATTATTATTTTCATTGTCAGTTATTTTTATTAATTGTTCCTTTATTTGTTTTTTTATTTGTTTTATTTCACGTTTATGGGTAATGGGGTTCGGGATGTAGCAACATGTAAAAGGAGATGGCAGACATGAAAATATATTTTGAATGCTTTTTATATGGTAAAGCAAGATTAAATAAATGTAATAAAGAATTCCAAATGTCACAGTGAAATATATCATTATCAAAATATTGCCTATAGACACACGCACACACCTGTCTATAGATTTGTCTCACTCTTAACCCTGCCTTGGCCGACCTCGTCCTTTCTCCCAGTACTCTATCCTTCTCAGATTATTTCCCACACAGTTTTGAACCTGGTATCTTATTTCCTCTACCTGCAGCTTTTGGTGTGCAGCAGTCTCTGTGACCATCTCCCTCTTATTTTATCGTAGCAGTCAGCCTTGGCAGCGGCTGCAGCACTACAGCAGGTCAGTCACTGTGAGCCAGTTCCAAATACTGTCAGCAATCTTTACATCTTGTCATGGTCACATATTTGTTTAATCAGCTAATATCTCCTAAGTTTGTTATAATATCGATAGTCACAGATCACCACCAGTAGTATCAGCAGCAACATCCCCAGCAACACCATCAACAGCCCACAGTGTTTAAAGCAAGAGCTGGGTATTCCCTGTGTTTCTTTTTCAAAACTGTGTCATACCATTCGCTGATGTATCAATACAGAAGCATCAGTATACGCATATCAGCAAGGAATACATAACGATATATTTCTGTATCAATATTTTGAGAACAGCCCTATTTAAATCCTTGTTCCATGTGCCCCTTTTATACTTTGAGTACCTGCCCTGGTTCTGATAGCAGGCACTTTGAACTGTAGCCCATTATGTGACCTGAGATTATGACTGCTTTGTAAAGTTAAAAATGTCCTGTTTAAATAATTTGGAAGTCTACCTAACATATCTTTGCAAGTGAAGGGATGACCATCCTTCCAGTCTGTCCAATATACAATAATGTATATCTGAGAGCTGAGTGATAAAGGGGGTCAAGCTTGGACAAGGTGGACAGAGAGGCAAACCTGTAGGTAGTGTCCCTATAATCAATCTGTGGCAGAAAAAGGCCAGCAACTAAGTGTTTTTCTAAAGCCATGGAAAAGCAGGACTTTCACCTATACAGAAAAGTCAACGTGATAATCAACATGGTATTTAAAATTTAGTTTTTTGTAAAACCAGATACCCAGATATTTGTAATTATCAACAGACTGGATACAGACTCCATACAGGGTCGTGATGGAGAGGGGTGGTACCTTTGTTCGCCCAGTGGCAAAAATCATAACTTTAGTTTTGTGGGAATTTAAAAGCAACTTCAAATCTGACAGAGCATATTGCAGGGTATAAAAATCTGCCTGCACATTTGAAAAGGCAAACTCTGCTGTGGGGGCACAGGAGTACAGAACTGTGTCATCTGCATACAGATGATCCTTACAGAATTTAAACATCAAATATTATTAATGTAAACTAGGAAAAGCAAGGGTCCCAAAACTGAGCCTTGAGGAACACTTTTCCTAACAAGGACTGGATCTGACATGTCGTTGCCATGTTTATCCATTTGTGAATGATTGGTCAGGTAACTGTGGAACCATTTAGCCGCTTTGCATCCAATGCCTGCTCTCAGCAGGGTATTAACAAGTGATGGATGGTCCACAGTAGAGTCCAAATATGATTGGATAGCAACTAATGATTTCAAGATTTTTGAAAGAACAGGGAGAGATTGGCCTAAAATTGTTCATGTCAATCCAAACCTCAATATTATTAACACTACATCAAAAATTTTTAAATAATTAATTTGTGAAGCTGGAACGATGAAATGTTTGACATGAAAAATGACAATGATCAAAACAGCTGCCAATAAAAAATTTTTTCAACCGACTAATTGTTTCAGCTGTGCTTGAATAAACTGTTGGGTAATTAAATTAATTACAAAACATTATATTTTATAAACTCTTCA